TTGATGTGCGAACAACAGCAACACTTAATAACCCCCCATCAAGCTGGGCGACCCCGTGCACTGCAGTGGGCACCAGTTTGTTTATGGGGGGTACTTCCGATAGCACTATCCGGGCCCCGATTCTGCTGTGGCTAATGGGCCGAACTGAGGGATTGGACTGTCACGGCGCGCTGATGCCTCATTTTTCTTTGGGAGCGTCTGAGGTAGCCCCCCGCACGCCCCGGACAGCCCCGCCTCCATTTGGGCCATCATCTGTCAGGGCGGATGGACTTTCTTCCAAATATGGAGGCGTGGGAGAGTGTCAATTAGCATTAGCTTCCCTGACAAATCTGTTTTTCTCAGCACAGAGGCGGAGGATAACTTGTTCCTGATTCCTCTCTGTCACGCTGCTGCAGGTAGGGGATTTGTTTTGTGCTACAGTTTAAGCAGGAAATGGGTCAAGCACACGGGGTATTAATAGAGGTATGACACTGGGATAACAATAAACAACACAGCTAAAGACAGTTGTACAAAAGACTTGCATCACATTATAAAATACTTCTCCCAAGATTGTGATGACTTATGTTGTTAGTTACAGTCTGTCCTGGAATTTAATTAAGTAAAAGTGGTAAAGTACTGCACTTTTAGGTATATAGTGGGTTCTTTTTACTTTTATACTTTTCTTTTATTTCTCTCTTCACTACATCTGAAGGCAAGTATCTGTACTTTCTACTCCACTATGTTTTTGAACTTGACTGAAAAGTAAAAGTATTTTTTTATGATTGTTTGAGACCTACCTAAGGTTGAGGGTTTATTTTTTAATATGTTCATAGTTTGGGCAAACAAAAATATATAACAAATAAATATAGCTAGAATAAAAAGATCGATTCAATTCTTTCTGCTGCACAAAATTCAGCACAATTCAGCATCAAAATCAATACATCTCAAAATCTGTGCTAAATTACTCTTTAAGTACATTGTTAACTTGGTACTTTAATACTTTTATATATATATATATATATATATATATATATATATATATATATATATATATATATTTTTTCAAGTGATACATGTACATGAGTATTTTTTCTGCACTTTGACTTAAGTAACAAAACTGAGTACTTCTTCCACCACTGGTTATAGTCTATGTATTTTGTCAATATAGTTTTTACTGTTTAGTTAATTATTATTTGCAGGCTTTGAAGTGTTAGAAAAACTTTTAAAAAGCTCTACTGCATGCGAGTGGGGTGGCCTCTCCACAGATCTGACCTCAGATCAATAGCATTGCAAGAATAGATGAGGAAAGTGACATAGTGTGCCTTAAATCATTTTTGTGTGTTTTATTTTGACACTGTTAATACACTGGTATTAGTTTAGATTTCTCAGGAAGTTAATAAACATTTTCAGTTTTCTGTTGTAATGGTAAATCATGACATCATTACTATAAGTTTAACTCTTACTTTAAGTTATGTAAATTGGGTTTCATCAAATTGTATACTTTTTTTAATGTAAAAAAACAACAACAAAAAAAAAAAACAGTAGGCCTTGCCCTGGCTGTAACACACAGCCTTGTCTCCTCTGTATTCTCCTTTGTTTTATGCAGTGAAGGGCCAAAAGTGAGAGATCAGGACGATGTGCCTCTCACACTAAAAAGCCTTTGTTTACATTGCGGAGATGGCGGCTGACCTTAAAGGTTATCTCAAATGTACAGAAAACATCAAAATGGCTGACAGGAGAGCAGGCGTGACTCCAGGGGCGTGCACGTCGGGAATACCATCACTGTTACTGTACTTCCTTTGAACAGCGCTCCTCTGTGCCCTCTGCTGACTGGAGATCTCCCACCCTAATCAGCTCTATTGTTCTGCGCACAGGCAGTTGTGAGGAGCGCTAAGCTGTTTATTTATTGAAGACTTGTTTAATTCCCCCTCTGCTCCATCCACTCGCAGCTTTGATGCTGCTGGAGAGCCATGACAAGCTCCCACTGGCGAAAACAGCAATAAGTGGTGGCCCAGTCAGCACTGTACATAATGCAGTGACCTCCTCTGTCCCTCTGGCTGCCTGTGTCTGCCACTGAAATAATGCCATCAGCAAATTTGAGAGAATAGTATGGCAAATTATCTTAATTTTTGTCTCTTTCATTTTGTCTTTTCAAATATGTTATTTTTAATATTTTAAAGGCCCTATATTATGCAAAATTGACATTTAGCCAAGTTAAAATGCCGTTACCTCCTCAAAAATATACCTGGAGTTGGTTTTGTTTCATTCACACATGTTTCATTAATCCTGTAATAAAGTAATTTGTTTTGTTGAGATTGTCACAAGAAGTCTACAATATCATCTGATGCACCAAGACTAGAAGAAGTTACAATTCAACTTTGAGGCAAAAATAGCCAAGATAAGTATTAATGACTATAATACTGTGAAACATTCCAGGGAAGGTAATAATATGTGCAGGATGAAAAGGTGACGAAAAGTTACATGGTGCAGCTTTAAAGTGCAAAACTTCTAGACCAGTGTAAAAATGCCTTTTTATTATTAAAAAGTATAATTTGGCTTCTTACCAAGATAATACAAAGAGCTTTAGTGATTACTTTGAGCTGATTGCGGTTCTTACGTTTGACTAAAGCCTTGGCAGATGTTCTTAAACCTAAATATTTATACTATAATAAAAGCAAGCAATAATTATGTGTTTGAGTAAAGAAGTTTCTTATTTAAAAAAAAAAAAACTCACTATGTTTAAGATGCACAGGATTTGAATACAGAGAGAAAGATGGAGAGAGGATAAGGAGGAGGAGGAGGAGGGGTGGAGTTAGCTGAAAAAATCTCAGACACGTACAAAATGTTTGAGTTTTTGAAGAGAAGCAGAAAGTGCCTGACTTCCACATAATCAGAAATACACTGCACAGGAAACACAAATAAGGTTTATTCTAAGTCTGTAAGCTTGTCTGGTCTGGAGCTTTTCAAATGCAACTGCATGCATCTGGAAAGCAGCAAACGCCACAGAGTTTCAGAGTTATACCTTCAAATCCATATTTCAAAGTACAATGAGGCCTATTCCATTTCCAATAGAAACAGATGGCAAAAAACTATAGGTACAGACAGACAGTTGTGAGGTAAAAGGATCATGTTTGTACTGGCCACTGTTGGGCAAGTTACTTTAAAAGTGTAATGTGTTACTTTACTTATTACTGTCATTTCAAAGTAATTTGTCACATTACAATATTACTGCATTCACACGACTATTACATGACTATTGAGCGAAGATGGCGAACTTTTGTACCGTATATGGACTGAACCAGGACTAAACCAGGACTAAACCAACCAGAACTGAACCAGGACTAAACCAGGACTAAATCAGAACTGAACCAGGACTAAACCAGGTCTAAACCAGGACTAAAACCAGGAAAAACCAGGACTAAACAGAACTAAACCAGGACTAAACCAGAACTAAACCAGAACTAAACCAGGACTAAACCAGGAACTAACCAGGTCTAAACCAGGACTAAACCAGGAACTAAACAGACTAAACAGGACTAAAGGACTAAACCAGACTAAACCAGGTCTAAACCAGGACTAAACCAGGACTAAACCAGGACTAAACCAGAACTAAACCAGGACTAAACCAGGACTAAACCAGGTCTAAACCAGGACTAAACCAGGTCTAAACCAGGACTAAACCAGGAACTAAACCAGAAACTAAACCAGAACTAAACCAGGTCTAAACCAGGAACTAAACCAGGACTAAACCAGGACTAAACCAGGTCTAAACAAACCAGGACTAAACCAGGTCTAAACAGGACTAAACCAGAACTAAACCAGAACTAAACTAAACCAGGACTAAACCAGGTAAACTAAACCAGGACTAAACCAGGACTAAACCAGAACTAAACCAGGACTAAACCAGGTCTAAACCAGGTCTAAACCAGGTCTAAACCAGGACTAAACCAGGACTAAACCAGAACTAAACCAGAACTAAACCAGGACTAAACCAGGTCTAAACCAGGTCTAAACCAGGACTAAACCAGGTCTAAACCAGGACTAAACCAGGTCTAAACCAGAACTAAACCAGACTAAACCAGGACTAAACCAGGACTAAACCAGACTAAACCAGAACTAAACCAGACTAAACCAGGACTAAACCAGAACTAAACCAGAACTAAACCAGGACTAAACCAGGACTAAACCAGGTCTAAACCAGGTCTAAACCAGGTAAAACCAGACTAAACCAGGACTAAACCAGGTCTAAACCAGGTCTAAACCAGGACTAAACCAGGACTAAACCAGGACTAAACCAGAACTAAACCAGGACTAAACCAGGACTAAACCAGGACTAAACTAAACAGGACTAAACCAGGACTAACCAGGTCTAAACCAGACTAAACTAGGACTAAACTAAACCAGGTCTAAACCAGAACCAGAACTAAACCAGACTAAACCAGGACTAAACCAGGACTAAAACAGATCTAAACTAACCAGACTAAACAGGACTAAACAAGGACTAAAACAGATCTAAACCAGATCTAAACCAGGACTAATCTTGGACTTGGACTTGGAATCAATCACCGCCCGAGAGAACCCCAAGCCTGTGGAGCAGGGTGTCCGCAAACCGCAACTGGGGGTGGAGCGTGGAGTTCTGCGCTGGTCCTTTTCACCTGAGCGCAACTCCAGGCCCGTCTCGACAATTGAAATCGTAACAATGGCGTTTCACCGCTGCTGATATGACGGTTATTTTAGTGAATTTGTACGAAGAAAAATGAAAAACCCACCACTTCAATTCAGGTTAAAATGCATTGTAACATGCGGTACTGACATTTGTACCAAGTAAAATATTACCTTTTTTTCCCTGTCATGCCTTACATTACTGTGTTACATAAAAAAAACTATGCATTACAGTAATTTGTTACTTTTATAATGAGTTACTCCCAACATTGGTATTGGGTTAACTGTAAAAATAACATAGGATACATACAATAAATGTTGACGTACACAATGCAATTAAAAGTTGAAAAGTGACTCACCATAGATGCCGGTGGATATACAGGGGAAGGCCTACAAAAGAACAAAAAATACATTAGGGCATAGTAATATATGAAAAACAACACAGCAATTTTACTCAGAATTTGCAATGGATGTCACCCTTTCCTTTTCAGTTTCCATTTAGTCATCTTCAAATAAAAAAGTGTCCTATTTTTGAAATGATTATTATTCACTCAGAACCTTAAAAACATGCCCTTAGAAACACAGCATCTCGACTGCAGAATTACAGAGTTTGTTTTTAACTTCATTAGACAAAGCATCCTAAGAGTCTAAAACAAATACTATACATAGATGTCCATATTTTGCAATAAAAGTGTTGCGAGCAAAGTTTCGCGCACTGTTTACATTCTTTACTTCAATTACTGCTGCTTCTGGTAGCTCCCGGGAGGTGTGAATTTACACTAGTGTTTACTCAAGTCCCTGCCATGATAATGCAGGTCCAGACTGTGTAAAGTGCAGTGTGAACCTTTTAGCTGCGAACACACATTCATTCATAACTATAGTGTTAGAGTCTTTCTCTGTTGTTGACACTGGCCATATTGCTGCAATTAGAAAGCTCTGTTTAACATGTCTTTGGACAAAATATAGCTGGGTCCATATGTCATAGATTTCTGTATTTTGTTGCCGGGGGAAACAGTCAATTACTCCCGAGAGGACTGAAGAGCAGTGCCCTCTGTAATACGCACAAGATGAATAAACAAATGAGAGGATTGATTCTGTTTTTAGCCAAGGGGCAAACTAAAAATATAAAACGCACTACGCCTTATTTTATGGTGAGGAGTGATTTGCGTTTGGCTGATGAAAATCCAGGAAAATGCAGTCTTGTAATGAAACAAAAGCAGTGGTCATGCATACTAAAATGTTAAAGTGGGAAACCAAACAACCTTGTGATAATTTCTGAACCATTGTTGTGTAAAAGTGTGATTTTGTCCTGAATAGCGCGAAAAAATTGTCTTTACCAAATTTCTGTCAAGCATTATTCAGCAGCCAAAAGGAGCACTGCTGGCTTATTGGACTGTGCGAGTAGATTTTACAATCTCTAATGTTTACAGATGATTCACACTAAAATATTATTCCACCTATTTTACAAGGAATAAAAATGAAGCAGATCCTGTTTCTGTAAAACCTTAGAAACATTTAAATAAAGGTAGCCTGAGCGTTTCCAATATGCTAACTGCTTTTGATAAATCGCTCTCAATTCCCCAAAGTACACAATGACTAACACAAGCAAATAAAACTAAACATTGAAAATATATCCAAGAGCTTAAGAGCAAATGCGTGTATATTTATGTCTGTCTATTCCAAAAAGATTATAAAAAGTAACCACCTTGTAATAGTCCTGGCTTTGTAGCACTTTACAGCAGACGTATTATTCAAGCATGGCTTTATGGCTCAAAATAGTTTCATTATTCTTCACTTCTGTGAGCAAACATATTATGATGTATAGGCCTGGCTGTGAGCTCGCCTATTTCACATTCATCTTTTTAAGTATATTAATAAACAGTAAAGTGAAACAGATTTTTTCCAAAGGTCCCATTTGTCCGGGAAAGCAGCTGAATACGGGCTTTGGTTTGGTGCATTCATCAAAAGGCGTGGCCGCATTAATGCAATCACAAATGAGAAAAGGAAGCGCACGCACAAACAAATGAATGTGGAGCTACCAAATACTACAAATATTATTCACACTCAATAGTCATACATCAGAGTCTCACAGCTCAACAGTTTGTTCTACCACGGCGACCCTGTCGAGATTCACAAACATGCTATGGCTTTATTAATACACTCACACACACAAACACTATTAGTCCACCTGAAAGAGGCAAATAATATCGCAAACAAGAAGTAATGAGGATCACATATTTGTTTATCCAAAAGTGAATAATAAATTAGAAATCATTTTCATTCAGTGGGAGTGGTTAAAGCAGATTTATATTTGCTGAATTTAGAATCGGTGTAATCCATGAATTAAGTTCTTCTTCTGAACTAGTACAACTGTTTTGCCCTTTTAGACCTGGTTTAGATCTAGTGGTACTTGAAAGGCCAAATATTTTCTTATCTGAAAAGTTTGACAACTTCTCTTCCATTAATGTCTACAACTACAATACTCTATGTAAACATGTATGTAGTGAGAGATTGTGGATTAATGTGGCCTAACTTCTTCCATGTCCTCACCTGAACTCATGTCTATATCTCTCTTAACAGAGCAATAAAAAGTGCCATAACATATCAGGTCAAAGAAGCAGAGTTTTCTGGTGGCAGTGCTCATCACCACGGAGCCTCTATAACATTATCAGTATAACAGGTTGATGTGTATAAAGATGTACTTCCTGCAGCCTGAGCCTGAGCGCTGCTTTGAGATGCAGAGCTGTGTCCTTGCTCTCAGCGCGCACTCGGTTTGTGTTCTTATTTACCCGTTTCCCGGTCGCGCCTGTCAGCCTGAATCTTTCTTCTGTGGCTGATTTAAATCTTTTACCGGAGCTCTGACCTTTGCCGATGAATGTCTCTGACACAAACCACACATGATGAAGCGCAGAGACGCACGGCCATTTTGAGTCTGGGCCAGGCCCTCTCTCTGTGAGGGCACAGGGGCAGACTGGGAGGAGGGAGGAAGTTAGGTGATTTTCAATAAAGGATCAGACAGGAAATGAAGCTACAGCAAGAATCAAAGATGTTTTCTATTATCAAATGGTGAACAAATGTGGTTAATAGACTCTGTATTAAAGGGCTGATTTGACAAAAACTGTATTTCTACATTATTTGAAAAAAAAAAAAAAAACATTGTGTATTTTGAATTTAAATAATAGCCATGGCTTATAATTAATAATCCACTGTTAAAGAGTCTATTTTTATATAGATATAGATTTTAAGTAATAATGAAATGCATAAAGTGAAATGGCACTCTAAAAATTCTGGTTGTATAATAGGGTAATATTTTAAGATAACATTAAAAAAAATAATAATAAAAAATAAGATGGTTTATAAAGCAAACCAGTAGATACAAAAACTGTACACGTTTCCTGTTGAAGCACCTGCCAGAGCCACAAACTTTGGGTCTGAACGTTTTTCCTGTTTCCCTGATTCCAGAGGTTGTGACTGACAGGTGAATTAACCAATCAGAGTGACACAGGCTGAATCAACAATTGAAACTATTAACTATTATTTATCTCATGTAAAAGTTATATATTTGTTCTGAATTATACAAAACATGTCAAAAGGACACCCCCTTTTGACGTGTTTTGACATGTTCTTTTGCATTTGACATACACATGTTACAAATGCAACACAAATACATGTGCTGTGGTTGGACTGCCCACGTTAGGACGGAGTTTTTTTTAACTCTATGATCCGATTTCAAGCCCTTCTGGATTCAAACAGAATGCAGAAGAGGCTGATTGGGTGAGTTTGCCAATACCGCTCTGAGTTAATGGCCTCCTCAGCTCTGGGTCAAACATCACCAGTCTCCTCCAAAACTATACTCCAGCCACAACTTTACCACATCTCAAAGTTTGTCAATGACCAGTGCACTGTAAAATCAGGCATAATCACTTTTACTATAGTACGTCTCTGCTTGATCTAATTTGATGTATTGATTTGTGGTGTATTAAATTATGTGGGCACTTAACAGGACATTTTAAAAGATGACAAGAAGAGAGTCTGTGATAAGTCACAGATGCAAATGTCATTAAGATGTTTAAACAGACAGTTATTGCCAAAAGTGAAGATGGGCAATAAAATGGAATCGCAAGAGCGCCTTGGCAGAGGATGACTCATTTAAATAAATAAGATCCACGTACTCAGCAATGCATTTAAAATCAGGCAATGCTACATTTGGCCAGCAAGGCTCTAAAATGTGTGACTCCAGATATATTTCCAAAGCATTGCCTAATCAAATTGACCAGAACCTGGACTAACATAAAAACAAGTGGAAAATTGCCGTTTGAGAACTTGCCATGATAAATGTCGTTTCTGCCTCAAAAACATACTTAGAGTTGTGTTGTACTTTGTTCACATATATTTGAGTAATCCTTTCTTATTAGTATATCTACATCTCCAAAGCTCAAAATGTTCTGCTGGGAACCAGCTGGAAAGTCCCCCAGGCTGGAAAGTCCTCCTGAATTGTACGCTTTATGAAACTATGTTAGTTAATCTATATCTATATCTATCTATCTATCTATCTATCTATCTATCTATCTATATATATATATATATTAAAAATAGATATATTTAAAAAATTGTCTGCAACTGACGTGCACCTCTGAAATTTTCGAACTACACGTCGAAACTACATAGACAACAAGGGGAAGTGACACAGACAATAAGTGCTGTGACTGGTCTGCTCTACATCCGCTCCACAAACATTTCCAATACTCCACATTCCTGCTTCATTTTGAATACATGAACACCAGTTTTAAATCCGAGCCTCCTAACACTGTGATGGTGAATTACTTCACAGGCTGTTGACATGTGGGCTCTGGCTTGCTGTCTCCTTCGCTGGTTTGTCCGTAGCACAGATTTCATTGCCTTTTCTGAGTTCGACTTCCTGAACAAGATCGGGCATTTCTTTGGGGTTCCATCAGAGAAGCTGCTCAATGAGGCGTTGTACACAGCAAAGTACTTTGTTCAGGAAAACTCCAAGGCGACCAGCTGGAAGGTCCCCCTGGGTGGAAAGTCCCCCTGAATTGTACTGTTTATCAAACTAAGTTAATCTTTATACATAAAAAAAAAAAAAAAAGTTTTCATTCTACATATATTGTACACAATATATCTCAACACATCTGTTCATACATACAAAAAAAAAAAAAAAGCAAAATGAACAAAGCAAATTCCTCCTCAGGAATAGTCCCACAAATGTGTTTATGTATAGTCTGTCAGTTTCATTAATCACTCAATCACCTCTGGTGAGTAGGAGTGAGTGCAGCAACTATTTCAGGATTTTATCTTAACTATGTATTTCACTGAAATATGTAAGACCTTCATAAAAGTGATTCTGAATGATTTTTGAGCAAATTCTG